TGGTTACCAGTAACCATAGCAACAACATGGTGGAGTTTGAAAAAAAAGCTGCCATACATTTTTTTCCTGGTACACTTGGCGAATTTTGCCCCACATATGAAGTCACATGGATGTATGTACATATGTATAGTATTGAAAAATATTATTTGGTTAGCAATAGATTTTAAGTACTGTTGTAAATATACAATATAACCCGTGAAATTTGTATCTGAATATATACATGTTAACATAAGAGTGATATGTTGACCGGCAGTCGTAACTGGTGTATGGAAGTCAATAAACAAGCCTATATAAAGTCAATAAACAAGCCTATATAAAGCCTATATAAAGATCGTTTTCGAAGCTAGATAGATTGGACTTCTAAGTGGTTTTCGATAGTACCGCCTTTGTGGAGGTTATTGCTCTAACGTGGTCTGCTACAAAATTATTTCGACTTTGGGATATACGTGAACATGAGAGGCTACCCACAGGAAAGAAGCATTTATCTCTTGTGGTAGTCAACTTCTTAACCAGACTACGTACATATGTACATACTATGTATTGGTGTTGGGCAGTGTCGATACCAGAAGTACTCAGAACTCGATTCTCCAAAGATGGACCATCTGCCCATAGTTATCTCGATTGATAAACCTGGCGACTTTGCTTCCGGGAAACACAGATCTTACATCGACTTTTCTAGAGATGATTGGAACAGCTTCGCGGAATTTACTGAAAACACCATCTCTGCCTCTTCGACACCAACAGGTGAGCGTGAGTTCCGCAGGGTTGTCACTGCTGCTGGAGCTCCCTTCATTCCAGCCGGATGCATTTCGTACCCCGTCTAAATTTTCCAACTGAAGCGGCTGTTCTAGTCTATGAGCGTGACAACCTTCGGCACGCCGATCCCGAGGATCCCCGTATCAGGGATCTCAACACGGAGATTCGGAAACTTGTCAACGTACGTAAGCTGAAGAAGTGGAAAGAGCATTTGGAGACTTGCAACTTCGCCTCTGGTGTGAGAAAGCTTTGGTCAATCGTGAGGTCGCTGTTCAACCCGACGAAGCGTGACGACAGAAGACGAAATCTCTTTCGGCGACCACGCCTCGTCGGATCCGGAGCGATGCGCGAACTATTTTAGCCGACAATTCACATTGCATCCTCCGGCGGACAAAGCCAAACGTCTAGTGACGAGAAGGCTGCACAAACTGCCAACACCCAGAGCGCCACTTGTTTTCACCGGCGGTGAAGTTTAGGTAGCCATCGGGAAGGTGAAAGCCTCCAAATCCATAGGTCCCGACGGAATTTCCATGCTGATGCTGAAAAATTGGGTCCTGCGGGATTACTTAGCTAAGGTCCTCAATCTGTCGATGCCCACCCTCATCATTCCGGATATCTTAAAAACGGGGAGGGTGGTCCTACTGCTTAAACCAGGGAAGTCAGCCAACAAAGGAGATAACTCAATAGATAACTCGTGGCCTTAACCGTAAGAGCCCCTGTGAGAGAAAGTCCTAGTAGCGCTGGATCTGTCAAAGGCGTTTGACTCCGTCAGCCACTCCATGCTACTAGAAGACATTGAGGCCTAATCACTCCCACATGGACTCAAGCCATGGTAGACGAATTGTATGAGTGGTCGACATTGTCAGTCATTTTCAGAGACAAAACCAGCAAACTGAGGAATATTAAAAAGGGCGTCCCACAGGGTGGTGCCTTTTCCCCGTTGCTGTTTAATTTGACTAAGCACTCCTCTACGAAATCCACGGCAACCCTTTTTACCACCTGTACGAGGGAGGTTAGACTGCTGCTAGGTATTCACGTTGACGACGAACCAATTCCGACGGTGAATAACCCAAAACTCCTTGGAGTTACCTTCGACAGTCTGCTCCCCTTCTCGGCGCATACAACCACAATTGTCAATCGAGTACAGAGCCGCAACAAGGTCATCAAGTCGCTAGCCGGTAGCACCTGGGGCAAAGACAAAGAAACGTTGTTGGCAACATACGTGGCAATTGACCAGCCGGTCCTAAACTATGCAGTGACATGCAAGAACACGGCACTACGGACTGCGACAGGATGCCTCCTGATTTCGCCCCAACACCACCCACACGCCAAGGCCCAGATGCTCCCCATAAAGGAGCATTACATAATGCTCTGTAAACAGTTTCTAGTAGGGTGCCACAGACGTGGTCATTCGAGAACAGACAACTGCTTGCAGAAGAGCCCTCGCTAAGGCCCATCAGGTGGCACCTCTGTGAACTGTCGGACGAAGTCCAGAGGGTTATCAAACAACCTCTGGACTCAACTGCATACAGATAGGCCCTGAACGGCATTCACAGGGAGTCAGTCTTGAGTTACATGCATGCCCCCAAAACCCCACCCAGCTAACGCCCCTGTCTCTATGGACAGATCCCGTTGAAGTCGCGCTTTTTCTGGGCATCCCCTTAGCTGAAACAGACGACGATGGATGAGCCGACTCGAGCGGGATTTACGTAGTACCCGCTACAACAACGTTGTAGGACAAGCCGACCCGAGCGGGGCTTAGTAACCGCTACAACAACAACAACATAATATTATTTCCATTAACAGCTCGCTCTCGCTTCAGCTAACAAAATAACAGAATATCGTCGTCCATTAGTATCCTAATGTGGCATTGACCTAAAATCTAGAACAAAAAGCTTTTTAAAGGGTGTAACCCCGATCATCAATTTTAACTGTGAAAGAAGCAGTAAAGAGCATAGAATTAATTCCGCTTAAAAATTGTATACCTTATCGTGAAACCCAGTTCGTCAACAAGAAGAATGACTTATTAAATGTAATGGCAAAATGTCAAACAACATACATTTGCTAAAATTACCCACTTACATTTGGTCCAATACATATTTTCAAAAGTATTTTGGCTTAGTGCAAAAATGAGCCAGTGATATTTTTGGGTTAAATGCCCATATTTCATAGTTTATAATGGATTAAATTTGAATTCCCTATTCAACACCCCACCAGTTGTAGTATAAGAA